TGAACTAGGTACTGTTTATCTTCGGTTTATACATGAGGATACTGTGAATAGAGAGGTTAAGTAACTTGCTCGACATCACAGGTAATAAATGGCAAAGCCTTGATTCTATCCTGGACTAGAACTCCAAGGTCAGCATTCTCAGTGATGAGGCTGATAGATTCCCAAACAGTGCCTCCCCCTCACCCCCACTTTCAGCTGCATTTGAACCACCAACTAAGAGCAAACAAGAAAACACTCTCTACATTTTCCTGAGGTGATATTAAAGAGAGAATCAAATTCAAGGGAGACCTAAATGATCCTTCACACATACTAACACAGATATGGGTCCTTAGGCTAATTAAAAACCTAACAATATGTTGAAATCAGTCTTTATAACTGAAAGTATATGGGACTATGTGAAATGATAGTAAATATTCTTGCATTAGCATCAAAATATACCCAGGCATCTTTGGAATTGTTTCCCGAAATCTGTATTTTGAAAGTTTCCATTTATGGAATATCCCATTATGTAATAGTTTCATGTGGTTTAAGCCATAATTATTATTCATTTTTGAACAATTCTGACTTTGAAATCAAAGGACATTTGGAAAGTTCCTCATTCAGGATTATATTCATGTCTCCAGGTCTCTGCTTTATCTCTTCCAGAGTCTCTTTCATTTCAGTCTCCGATGCTGCCTCTCCACTTAATAACTCAAAAATTAAAATCTTGCATGATACACTGAGTTCTTTGGAAAAACAGTTGTCTGAGTTTGTTTTAAAGTGGCAAGGTGAGCAAGATACAGGAACGGGGCAAGTATGCTTCAGGCTGGCAGCCTAAATTCAATGTACTGGTGTTGGTATAGAATGTCTCTGTCTTCTTATTTAAATATTTAATTAATTTCAAGGGATTACATTGTTTATACTTCCTAATTAAGCCTACTGGCCTTCACCATTGTTCTCTTGTCTCTAATCAGAAATCCTTTGTTTCGGGAGCTATGCAGAGTGGAGTTAGATGAGAGCTTTTATAACATTCTACAAATTGGATTCTGTATATTTGTAAATTATGCTGATAAGCACTTTTGTAGCACAATGAGGTCAAGACAGTCTCATCAAAAATGGCCTTTTTGTGCTGTACTCAAGCCAAAAAAAGGTAAAAGATCATAAAGGTACTAAGTTATGTTTGCAAAAGAAATTCACTGCAGGACAGTAGTTACTTTTTGACAGTGGTTACTTTAAGCCAATCTTAAAGAGACTAAATGAAATAAATTCTCCAAATGTACAGAATTTAATTAAAGATATATTTATGGAAAACATTGTATGAAAATATACAATGTTACATGCTAAAAGCACAGAGAAATATTAAGATACAGTTCATGATTTTAAAGAGTTTGTAATTTAAAAGAGAGACTAAAGATACGCATGCAATTAATTAAATAGAAGAAGACAGAATATAAATGTCCTTTGTCAGAGGCACAGTTTAGCCTAAAAGAACATAGATGGATTGAATTTATCTACTAAAATTTAAGTCATTCATTTAACTGCTATTTATTGAGTGCCTACTATGTGTCAGGTCTGGAGATATAGCCCTTGCTACCAAGGGATGCTGATCTTCGGAAATGAAATTCTTGACTAATTTTCAGGATACAGGGTAAAAAATGGAAGTAGCTTTAGCTTTGGAGTTTGAAAATACTGAATCAAAACCTGGCCCTATCAATTATTCATTGGGTGACTTAAGCAAATAATTTATAATCCTTTTAGCTTTATTGCAGAAATTAGAGGGTCATCTTTGATTCCCTCTTCTAACTTCATCCTAAATAAAGGTAATCAACAAATCAGTCTTTCAATGTTCCTTGAATGTTTTCCATCCTCCCCATGCTTTTATCCCCAGTCCAAAGGCTGGCCCTCATGATTTGTTTATGGATTCCATACCTTAAGTTAGTTTTGCATTAGTTTTGTTTACAAATTAGTTTTGCTCTTCCCACATCATTCTTCTTCAATCTATCACGCATGTTGTAACCAAAGCAATCTTTTTAAAACTTTTCCCTGAGTATAACAGTCCTCTCCTCAGAACTCTTCAGTCATGTCTCATCACCCAGGAAATGCAAGTCTGTATTTCTTAGGAAGTAAGACCTTTAGTGAGCTGAACTCTGCTTACATTTTTAACCACACATGCCAATCTTCCTCCATATGCACCCTATGTTTCTCTAACCAGCAGCATGCTTTATGACTGTATGCCTTTGCTCACGCTATTTGTTTTGTTTTGTTTTCTTGGCTGCACCACACGTGGGATCTTAGTTCCCCAGGAATTGAACTGGTACCTTGTCCCCTGCATTGGGAGTGTGGAGTCTCAACCACAGCAATTTTTTTTTTTTAATGCCAAAGTTTGAAACTTCATCCTCATTCTCACTTCACCAATCCTATCTAGAAAACTTTAAAATTTTATTGTTCCTTTGACACTTTACTCAAACGCAATCTTTTTTACAGAGCATTCCTTGATGATGTGGGCACAGGTAATTTTTTCAGTTTTTAGTGCTCACACAGCATATTTTATATAATCTATGTTTTATGTGTTTTATGTATATAAATACATATTTTATGTATAATGCATATGTTGGCACAATACATTATAATGTCACTATCCTTGTATATACCAGTTGTCTCAAAAAGACTGAACAACTGAGAAAAAGACAAGGCCCTTCACCTTTGAATTCTCACTTCTAATGTAATGTCTGTCAAGAAGAGGCTGTGCAATGAATATTTATTTTAGTAATGAAGTTTGGGGTTAAGTGGAAAGAACCAAATGCCTTGTGGAAGAGATGGTATTTAAGGCCTTGAAAAACTTCTAAAATATTTCATGAATTTTAAAAAATATGATTTGGGGATGTCTAGTGTTTTAATATACATATACACATAAATACTAAATATATCTTAATGATCTTCCCTTTACTGCTTAAGTATTTTGCCAGCAAAACTGTCTTTTCCATTCAAGGCCCTGGATGCAGTACTCTGAGCATGAAGACTTATTTAGTAGGTTAATAGTCTGATTTAAAGAAGCATTTTCCTCATGTCTCTTTAAAAAAGGTACCATTCTGATTCTCTGGTACCATGTAGTATTGAAAATGCCTGACTTTTTAGCTGAGTCATAGATGTCTCTATACTATACATAATATCAAATAAAATGCTGATATTCACTCTATATATTTATTTTCTCCTGAACATGCTAAAAAATATGTAAGTAAGTAGGCCTTTGATCGTCAGTGGAAAATATGTGATAACCCTGGGCACCTCACTGCTATCCATTTTAGCTCTCCCTGAGCAGATCACCTGAGTCTGACTGTAAAAGTATTAACTTGGGCATCTTTCCAATGCAAATCATGTCTATTTCAGGTTATCAATGATGGTTATGCTCTTAGGTATTCTGGCAGGTTTCTTATCTGAATTTTGAAATAGAATTAACAATACTTCCTGGGATATTCCATTCCTTACTAGTGCATGTTTCTACTTAAGTAGTTCCTTTAAAATACAGATAAGGGACTTTCCCAGTGGTCCAGCGGTTAAGACTTCCCCTTCCAATGCAGAGGGTGTGGGTTTGATTCCCTGGTTGGGGAACTGAGACCACGCATGCCTGGAATTCAAAAAGCAAAAACATAAAACAGAAGCAATATTGTAACAGGTTCAATAAAGACTTTAAAAATGGTCCATATAGAAACAATCTTTAAAAATTAATACAAAAATTTAAAACTATACAGATGAAAAACCACTGACACCAATAAAGATATTATGGCTAACAGAAACCCAGAACATAGCAGCTGGAAAAAGACAAGGAAAGCTATACTCTTGCAGTCTAGTTTAGGATAACTATTCCCTTCATTTTAAACCACGTTTACTAAAATAAATCTTTTTATTTTGGTAGCACATCATGGTTAGGAGAAAGAGAAGTCGGCTTTGGAGGCTTCGTTGAGTTTTCTTTTTTCCACAAGAAAGAGAACTTATGAAGGAACCTGTGCAGCCTGGAGATCTTCCCTTAGAAACCCCTGCATAATAAAGTTACTGGCTAAGTTCGAGGAGCTCAGCAGAGGAGCTCAGTATTCTTGCCTGAAAAGCCCCATGGACAGAGGACCCTGGCCGAGTCCAGTCCAAATGGTCGCAAAGAGTCAGGCACCACTGAGCGACTGAGCACACAGACACACTCACAGGAAGCGTCTAAAGGAAACCTCGTTGAGTGCAATCCTGTAGCACTGGAGATGCAGCTATAGATACACAGCCATAATTACATGTGGGTGGTAATCCACATGAGGATTGGGAAGGCAAACTGGAAGGAAGGGCTAGCTTGCTTTCATGGCTTTCCTCCTGTCAAAACCTGAAGGTTTGCTCCCAACCTTTGGGTATCTGTACTTTGGGAGTTTTCAGCGGGATTCTCAGCCCACCGGCCTGCTCTAAGCCAAGCCAGACGGCCTGATGGACGGCTACTTCATGTTCGTGGTACACCCTCAGACCCACGCTCCTTCTCACAACTCTGTCCACTCGGACCCTGAGCTGGTGGAGGTGCGAGGAGAGGCTCAGAAGGAGCGGTGGGGACGACCCCATCTCCGAATGCCTTTGCAGCTGCCAAGGAGTAGCCAACAAGCGCCAGATTTATGTGCACTTTGAAAGAAGCATCTCCACCATTGGCTTTCCGAGCGGCGCTGTCGCTAGGGAGCGGCGGGCAGGGCGAGCCGAGACCCGGGAGCAGCCCGGGCGGGTGTTCCAGTCACTCGGGCGAGAGCGCCGCCGCGGGCAGGCGCGGACACGCACGCACCCGCGCGCTCCCCTCGGGTTCGAGCCCCGCCGCCCCGGTCCGCCCGAGGGCGCCCCCGGGCGCGTGCTCTGAGCAGAGCCGCACCTCCCGGCTTGCCGCCCGCCCCCTGATTCCCGCCGCCGCCGCCCGGAGGAGAAAGGAAGCCGGAGCCTCCGCTCCAGGTCCCCCGGCGCGGGCGCTGCGGAGAGCTGCGGGCTTGGGGAGGAGGAGCAGAACGCGGTGAATGAGTGCCCGCCTCGCCTCCGAGTTGTGTGAGTTGGCGGCGCCGCGCCCCGGCTTCCGGCTCTCGGCGCCCCACGCGCTCGCGGCTCCCGCGGCTGCAGCCCACGCCCGCGCCAGGAGCCCCAGCTCACCGCTCCGGGGGAGCCGAGGCTCCCGAGCTCCCGGCCCGGCCCCGGTCCAGCGGAAAGCAGGGGTGTCCCCTGGCAGAGGCGCACGGCCGCGCGCTCTCCCGCTAGCTCCGTGGCCCTTCGGTCTCTCCATGGCCTCGCATCAGCAATCCCGGATCCAGGCTTACCTGGAGAAGAACAGGATCGGTCCGCTGTTTGAGGTGAGGCGCTGGGGTGCGGGCGGTCCCGTTTGTCTTAGGAAGAAGGGGTGCAGAACACCCCGGAGGGAAGGACGGGCAGAGAAGGGAGACGCCAGAGGGGCGCCCCCGTGGCCCCGGTTCTGTGGCATTCGCTCTGCCCGGGCCAGGTGTGCTGGAACGCGGCCGCGCGGTCACCTCTTCGGTTACCTGGGCGCGGACAGGTGAACTCTGGAGGGGCCAGCCTGACCCAGGCAGGGATAGTTCGAGGTGTCCGACTGTCCTGTTCCGCTCACCACATGCACAGGGGCCCGGAAAGGCTGAGACGGATGGATGCACACACTCAGTCTTACACACGCTCACTTTTTTTTCCTGGAATTCACACTGTCTTGCGCGTTGCTTTCTTTTTTTTCCTCTTCCAAATGTGGGCAGTAGTAGAACCCGAAAAAGGTGGAGGAGGTGCTTAGCAGTGGGATGGAATAAGGTTAACCGGGAGAAAACTGAATTGGTAAGGAGTAGATTTCAGCAGGTGCGGGCGTGTTGAATGAAATTGCCCAGCCGAGGCGCTGACATTGGTCTCTGGATGGGGGAAAAAAAAAAAAAAGCCCTTTGCATTGCAGCCGCTACCTGTGCTGGGGAGGGGGCGGGGGGAAGAAAAGGGGGCGGAGAAAGGTTCCGGAAAAGCTCACGCACATTTATGGGAAGGAAACGTAGGGCTCAGAGCTGTTTTTTTTCTCGCTATCAGAGAACTGATGACAGTATACTGTAGGAGAAAGGAAGAGCGGGAGAACAGGAGAGAACGAGGACTGAAACCCACACGGACAGAGCGTCCCGCCGGTGGCCAGGGCTCTGGGCAACTGCAGAGACCGGCGAGGAGGGGGTCCCCACGGCCCCCGTCCTCTCTGGTTCAGCCGTCCAGTTGGGCACCGATCTGCCGTGAGAGGCTGTGGGGAGGGGGTCGAGATTCCCCACCCCCCACAATAAACCCCAAAACATTGTGGTCATTTTTGAATTTTACATGACCACGGTGTCTTAAGACTGAAACGCGGCAAGAGGAAGAGCTCAGCGGAGGATGGAGCTCCTTCGCCAGGATTGATGAAGGAGAATGACCACTGCAGGAAAAACAAGGATGGAAATCAATGTCCCATCGCAAAAAGGGAGCAGACAAGGGTGTGATCATGACGGGGTTCACACTACCAAGATTTTCTAGATCTCTTATTTTTCTGATCAACTTTTAAGTTAACGATGTACTGTCTTGAGATATGCGACCGTTATTTCAACCCAAACTCATTGTTGTAGAGTATTCATAAAGTTCTACAGTATATTTCTTGATTCTTGTTTTTGCCAAAAGTGTGAGCAAAGGAAGTCCACAAAAGCAGAGTATTAAAAGAGTATTAACAGAATTGCTGGAGCTACTTGAATTCCTTTCTTTGCCTTTAGTCTAAAGATTAGAGACCATATACAATTATGTATATATATATTAAATTATGTATATACATAGACTAAATATACCTACGTATATTTAAAGGAGAAACATAATAACCCTCTGTGGCACAGTTGATTACATCAAAAGAAACGTAAATACATTTGGAGTGTTTCTTCTCTAAAACATGTAGTTTACCAAGAAGAATAGATGAATTGTTTTTAATAGATGCTGTTGGTGTTTGTTAACTTTTAAAATTCCCCAGATTCTCTCCAAGTGATAATAATAGAGTTTGGAATATATGTTAACTTTCTACATAATTAGGAAATAGATTCAACTTGGTTTTTATTAAATGTTCACATTTTCAGGTGCTGGCTAGCTAGTTCCACTGATGAATTGTAAGTGATGGTAAAATTGTATCATGAAGTGTTAGACCTCCTCACTAAAAAACAAACAAGGACAGAATTATACGCTTTGTATTTTACTGATTTGGGAGAGTAACATATTACATATACTCTTCTATTAGCTTGGATTACAGTTTGAGTAGTTAATTTTTTAAGGTTGATGTGCACTTTAAATGATTAAAGGGAGAAAATGGATAAGTTCTCTTATACTTGAAGAAGAGTTCCTTATGCAACAGTTTTTTTTAATCATGAGAGAGCTTAGTTTTTGAGAGTAGAATTACATACACTTTACAAAATTGGAAAATCTCCTCATACTAGAAAATTAGTGAAACTAGTGTAAAATGGACACATTGATCTATCATTCTCCTCAAAGCTCTCAGGACATTAGTTAATGGTTCTCATAAAAACTGCTTCAGGAGATCAGAACCGGAGCTGAAACATCTGAATTTAGGAGGAAGTAGCACAAAGGACTGTCACATATTTAATTCTTGGGCCACATTGTAAGAAACAATGATATAAGCTAAAATCTCCATTTACCAATCACAGATTGAAATCATTAGGTGATGCCAGGTTTTATTATCTGTGCTTTGTTGTGATTTGTGTGTGTGTGTGTGTGTGTGTGTGTGTGTTGAGATGCTGGAGTTGTTGACATAGGCTTACTTTAGTTTTGAAAATATACAGAATCAGACTGTACCTTCCCTTTACAGACCTTGTTAGGACTGTTTTAAGAAAACACATTGGAGTGAGACACTATAAAGACAGCACATGAATGTGACTTAAAACAATAGCAAGGGTAACATGTACTGGTTGGAGATCAATTGTATCTTTTTTTTAACCTGTACGGGTTATTTACTTAGTTAATTTCTTACTTAGTTAACTTATTTCTAACATTTTGTCACTGAAAATTATTGGTTGGGATGGTGCTCAGGGCAGTCATATATCTTGGTTCAAGCGTGGTCACACTCACAAGATCACACTTGTGTGTGTGAGTTATCCTCACACTGACACACACAAGTGTGGGAAATCCTACACCATATAAAATCACTTGTATGTGGAATCTAAAAAAGAAAAATGATACACATGAACTTATTTACAAAACAGAAACAGATCCACAGACGTAGAAAACAAAAGCATGGTTACCAAAGGGGAAGAAGGGGAGGGAGGGATTGATTAGGAGTTTGCAATCAACAGATACACACCACTGTATATAAAAGAAATAGCAAGCTATAGCACGGAGAACTCAATATCTTGTAACATAATGGAAAATAATTTGAAAAATATTATATATTCATATATATATATATATATGCACATTGTCATATATATATGAATCACTTTGCTGTGTACCTGTGTGCATTGTAATCAACTGTACTTCAGTTTAAGAAAGCAGTGGTAACAAAGCCACCCCTGTAATAAAATCCATGCCAAGAGACATCATAATGAAATTTCTAGGGAGAAAAGGAGAGATTAAAATCTTGAAAGCAGCCAGAGAAACGCAGCATTATCCCTATAGAGGAAAAAACAATTAGAATGGCACCAGATTTCTCATCATACCCATGGAGGTCAGGAAGCAATGGGATAGTATTTTTCAAGTGCTGAAAAAATATAAAAAGAATCTAGAATTCTGTAGAGAAAATATCCTTCAGAAATGAAAGGGAAGCCAAGAGAATTTGTCACCAGCAGTCCTTCCTGAAAAGTATGGCTAAAGGAATTTCTCTAAACAGAAAGGCACTGATAAAAGAAGAAGGAAGTTTAGAACATCAGGAAAGAGAAAGAACATGGAGAGAGCAAAAATACAAATGAGTCCAGATAATACAAAAATGAGTACAGGTAATACATTTTCCTTCTCCTCTTGAATTTACTAAATTATGTCTGATTGAAGTTCTAACTATGACAATGCCAGATGTGGTTCTAAATGTATATAGAAGAAATACTTAAGAAAACTGTATTACAATCAGGGAAGAGAAAGGGGGTACAAAGAAGGTAAGGTTTCTGTTCTTCACTTAAGCTGGTAAAATGACAACAACTGTTGATTAACGCTGCATGTATAATATAATACGTAGAATGTACATACCTGCTCAGTTTCTCAGTTGTGTCTGACTCTTTGTGACCCCCTGGACTGTAGCCCACCAGACTCCTCTGTCCATGGAGATTCTCCAGGCAAGAATACGGGAGTGGGTTGCCAGTTCCTCCTCCAGGGGGTCTTCTCGACCCAGGGATTGAACCCAAGTCTCTTGCGTCTCCCATATTGACAGGCAGATTCTTTCTGTAACACTGTGCCACCTGGGAAGCCTCAGTTCAGTTCAGTTGAGTTGCTCAGTCATGTCTGACTCTTCATGACCCCATGAACTGCAGTACGCCAGGCCTCCCTGTCCATCACCAACTCCTGGAGCCTCCCCACAGTCCATTGAGTTGGTGATGCCATCCAACCATCTCATCCTCTGTCGCCCATTCTCCTCCTGCCTTACCAGCATCAGGGTCTTTTCAAATGAGTCAGCTCTTTGCATCAGGTGGCCAAAGTATTTGAGTTCCAGCTTCAACATCAGTCCTTCCAGTGAACACCCAGAACTGATCTCCTTTAGGATGGACTGGTTGGATCTCTTTGCAGTCCAAGGGACTCTCAAGAGTCTTCTCCAACACCATAGTTTAAAAGCATCAATTTTTCGGCGCTCAGCTTTCTTCACAGTCCAACTCTCACATCCATACATGACCACTGGAAAAACCATAGCCTTGACCAAACGGACCTTTGTTGGCAAAGTAATGTCTCTGCTTTTAAATATGCTATCCAGGTTGGTCATAACTTTCCTTCCAAGGAGTAAGCGTCTTTTAATTTAATGGCTGCAGTCACCATCTGCAGTGATTTTGGAGCCCCCCAAAATTAAGTCTGACACTGTTTCCACTGTCTCCCCATCTATTTCCCATGAGGTGATGGGACCAGATGCCATGATCTTAGTTTTCTGAATGTTGAGCTTTAAGTCAACTCTTTCACTCTCCTCCTTCACTTTCTTCAAGAGGCTTTTTAGTGCCTCTTGATACCATAAGGGTGGTATCATCTGCATATCTGAGGTTATTGATATTTCTCCCAGAAATCTTGATTCTAGCTTGTGCTTCTTCCAGCCCAGCGTTTCTCATGATGTACTCTGCAGGGTGTTAAATAAGCAGGGTGACAATATACAGCCTTGATGTACTCCTTTTCC